AGATGATGACAATATGATTTTTTTCCTTTAATCTACTAACGTAAAAAATTGCTTTAAAAGGTAATGTGAAATTAGCCTTGCATTTCTGGGATAAGCCCAGCTTGATCATGATGTATTCTTTCTTTCTTTCTTTTTTAATATTGTATGTTTTCCAGTTTTTGATTTGTTAGTATATTAAGGTTTATGTGTCTAGGTTCATTGGTGATACTGGTCTGTAATTTTCTTTTTTTGTATCAGCCTTGGTGAGTTTAATAAAATGAGCTGCTGTATCCCCTCATTTTCTATTTCCTGAGACTTAATGTAAATAGGAATTTAACTCATTGCCGTTGAGTCTGACTCATAGGGACCTTGTAGGACAGAGTAAACTGCCCCATAGGTTTTCCAAGGAGCTCTTAACCACTGCGCCACCAGGTCTCCAAATTGGAGGTATCTGTTCCTTAAAGGTTTGGTAGAATTTATCTGTCAGGGCCTAGTGTTTGCTTTCTGAGATTTTTAAATCACTTTAAACTGCTTTAACATTTACAGGTTCGTTAGAGTGTTTTTTCTTTTGAGGCGCATTTGGAAATTTACATTTTTCTGAAAATGAGTTAGTTTTTGTCTACACTGACAAATATATTGGTGTAAAATTCTGATTTCTTTAAAATCTCTGCCATATTTGTAATTAACACTAAAATTTAATTTCTTAAATTCGATGCTTAGCTCACTGATTTTAAGCCTTTTCAAATAAATAATTTTAAATGTGCATACGTATCTAAATAAAACTTAAAGTAGTAATTTCTATTTAACTACCACTTCAGCTGCATTTCATGAGTTTTGCTATGTGGACTTTTTATCTTTCAGTTCTGAATATATTCAGGTTTTCGTTATGATTTCTTTGATTTATGTTTAGAAGGTGTGCCGAAAAATTTGTCTTTTAAATTTTTCTTCTTGATTGCTGACTTAATTATGCGTGTTAATAAAATGTAGTCTGGTGTGATTTTGGAGCCATGGCAGCTCAGGGGTTAAGAGCTCAGCTGCTAACCGAAACATTGGCAGCTAGCTGCTCCTTGGAAACCCTGTGGGGAGTCCTACTCTGTTCTGTAGGGTCACTATAAGTTGGAATCGACTCGACAGCAGCTGGTTTGTTTTTTGTTTAGTGTGATCTTGGTTCTTTGATATCGTTGAGGCTTGTTTTTGAATGGTGTATGTTGTTGTTAGGTACCATTGAGTCGGTTCTGATTCCTAGCAACCGTATGTACGACAGAACAAAACACTGCCCGACCTGCACCATCCTCACAATCAGTGTTATGCTTGGGCCCATTTTTGCAGCCATTGTGTCAGTCCATCTCGTTGAGGGTCTTCCTCTTTTTCTCTGACCTTCTACTTTACCAAGCATGATGTCCTTCTCCAGGGACTGATCCCTCCTGATAACATGTCCACAGTATGTGGGATGAAGTCTTGCCATCCTTGCTTCTAAGGAGCATTCTGGCTGTACTTCTTCCAAGACAGATTTGTTTGTTCTTTTGACAGTCAGTGGTGTATTCAATGTTCTTCGCTGACACTATAGTTCAAAGACGTCGATTCTTCTTTGGTCTTATTCATTGTTCAACTTTTACATGCATATAAGGCAATTGAAAATACCGTGGCTTGGGTCAGGTGCACCTTTGTCTTCACGGTGACATCAGATGGTGTATAGCTTGTGGCAAATTTTCATCGATATTTCATGTTTGTTTAAAAAGAATACGTGATCTCTGAATTTAAGGTGAGCTTTCTTGATATGGCCTTCAGATTAAACTCATTAATTAAATTCACATTTAAATTAGTATGCTTGTTCTATCAATTACAGAGAGAGGTGTTGTTAAAATTCCCTGTTAATACAAGAATTTGTCACATTCTTGTAGGCCTCCCAGTTTTTGCTCTATGCCTATAAGTTGAGAATTGTTTAATTCCTGGTGGTTTCAACAATTTGTCATTCTGTAGTGTTTGTAGGAATGCTTTTTTGCATTAAAGTCTATTTTATCAAATATTGGCATAGCTATACCAAGTGATTTTTGCTTAATGTTTGCCTGAGGTATCTTTTTCTGCCCTTTTTTGTTCAAACTTTATGTTGCCTTAATGTTGTAGGTATGCCTTTTGAAAGCACATAGTGGGATTGTGTTTTTATAATCTGCTGCCAAACTGAGTTAGTCCTTTTATATAGTGATTGAAATATTTGGTCTATTTCTACTATTTTATTTTGTGCTTTCTAACTTGCTTTTTATTTTTCTCCCTTGCGTTTTATATTGTACAATTTTTCTCTTCATTCATGCCCACTTTCCACACCCACACCCAGTAATATAGAAATTATGTACTTCTATTCATTTGTTGGTAATCTTAGACATTTCATATTTAACTTAGAGCCTAAAGTTAATTATCTTTACTCTTGCAAGGACCTTAGTATGCTTGTTTTTTATCACCCCTTCCTGATTTATATGCTTTTGTTGCCTAATTTTCATTTTGCTGCTTTTGCAGTTCCACAGAGTAGGCATTATTATCGTTTTATATTGTTCTTGAAGGGCAGTTTCTAACATCCATTCTAGGTTGATGCTTATTTTCTCTCAGCACTTTGACAATACATCTCCTGCCTTTTGTTGTTGAGGTTAATTAGAAGTCAACTGTCAGTTGTTCCTTTAAAGGTAATCTCTAGCTTTTCTAAAACATTTTTTTCCTTATTCTTCAATTCACTAAGAATTATTTATGTAAAGATTTCTTACTTCTCATGTGTCCTCTGTTTGAAGATTGGCGTATTCCTTCAGTTCTTAAAAATTCTCTGCCAGCATTGATTTGATGTTGTCTCACTTGCTTTTTCAATGATATCTTCCTGGTAGTCTTAGACCCTTATTAGAATGTCTCACTCCATCCTCCATGTTCTCTTTAATGGTTTTCATCTTTCTGTGCTACCTTGTGGGTACTTTCCTTTAACTTCATCTTCGAGTTTAGCAATTCTCTTTAGCTTTGTCCAGTCTGCTCTTTATCCATCCATTGAGTTTAATATCATTCATGTCTTTTCATTTCAATAAGTTCTATTTATTTCTTTACCAAGTCTGCTTGTTCTCTGTTGGCATTTTCTTGTCTTTAAATGTACTTTGTATATTGTGTTATTTCCTCCAATAAATTGACCATATATTATGTATATATAATATATATATTATGTAATAGCTTATTTCCTGTTGTGTTTGGTTATTATTGATTATGTGGTCACAATTTTTGTCCACCACTTTCTAGTTTGTTGAGGATGGTCAGATGCCCTCTGGACATTCATGGTCAATATTTAACAAATACTTATTGAGCTCCAGCTGTGTACCAGGCACTATTCTTGGCACTTGGTATTTATCAAAGAACAAAACAGACATTGTTCCCTGACTTTGTGGAGCTTAACTTCTCGTGAAACCGATTTGGATGGAGATGGAGGTGGCTGTGAGAATTTCCTTCTTGTTCTTGTCAGCCCATTTAGAGAGACGATTTAATAGCATATATAGAATTTTGAGGTGTCTGCACCTAAAGTGCTTGTCATGTTGTCCAGTCTAGCAGACGTATTTAGTCTGTTTTATTTTTAGGTTGCTGGTGTTATCTGAAGGAGCCCTTGGTAGTACAGTTAAAGTGCTTGGCTGCTAACCTAAAGGTCTGTGGTTTGAACCCACTAGTAACTCTGTGGGGGAAAGATGTGGCAGTCTGCCTCTGTAAAGATTATATACTTGGAAACCCAATGGGGCAGTTCTTCTGTGTCCTGTAGGGTCACTATGTGTTGGCAGTGGGTTTGGTTTTTTAGGGGGTGTCTTAGGCTGGGCTCTCTAGAGAAGCAAAACCAGTAAAGTGTATAGATATATATAGAGATTTATATCACGGAACTGGCCATGTGCTGGAATGTCCCAAGTCTGTGGATCAGGCGGGAGGCTTCTCCCAACTGGTGTAGCCGCAGGGGCTGGCGAACCTAAGATCAGCAGGTCAGACAGCAGGGCTCTTGCTCACAGGTTGTGAAGACTGATGAATCCCAAGATTGGTAGGTAAGGCGGCAAGTATGCTGCTAGCTCATGTCCCGAAAACTGGAGGTCAGACGAACAGGAGCCAACGGCAGGATCCAGAGCAAGCAAAAGCCCGAGAGCCTTGCCAGAAAGTCCACCAGTATTGGATGCAGGCTACACACCCAAGGAAACTTCCTTTCAGCTGACTGGCTACTCACAGCAGATCCCATCATAGAGGTGATCACATCATCATGTGACTGCCGGACTATTTCTTAACTGACAAACCACTGAGAATCATGGCCCAGCAAGTTGACACACAACCTTAAGGATCACAAGGGGGATTATCTGTTATTTTGGATTACTCTTTTGACATCTTGCTGTCTCAGAATAACCAAGTACCAGATAGATTACAGCTAGTCCCTGACTTCCGATGGGGTTCCATTCTCACAGCTCTGTCGTAAGTCTGTTCTGATGTAAGTCAAATACCTTTTTTTTTTTAGTTTTCATTATTAGTGCCTTTTATTGTCAGTATCTTTATAAGTCCAGTCTTTGTCTTTGGGGTTGGAAACGTTACATATAAACTTACAGGTATGTTTTAATACATACATACATAAAATACATCATAAAAATTTACTCTGACAATGAAGAAGGGTTGGACAACGTTGGCATTTTGTCAGTAGCAGAAATAACTCCACTTGTGGAAGATTCTGGATCTTCTGTATTATCCCTGGGAACAGGGAAATGTTTCTAGTCAGCAAATTAGTGAGACTTGTCTGTACGGTCCTTTTCTTTTTTCCTTCATGTATTTCATGGTAGCATCTCACTACTTCCTGAATCTGCCTGTTGGCTTTAGCAAAGCAATTGCCATTTGGGTCCATGTTTTCAAGCAACTTAAGCTCCTGATTTAGTTTAGAATAAACTTCAGCAATTCTTTTACTGTAAAATTTTTTGACAACTTCTTTCCTTCTTTTTTCTCGTTATTTCTTCTTCAGCATTTCTTTCTTCTTCAAAAGCCATTAAGTCCTGATCTGTCAATTCCCCTTCTTCATGATCTATGTATGAGCTGTTCCACATCAGTGATGTTTTTCCACTAGTCACTTTGATCATATCCTGATCAACTGCTTGGAGCATGTTCATATAACTCAGCAATTTTTTCCAAATCCCCTGCATGCATTCTCCTCTAACTTCCTCCCAGAAATTGCGTAATGTTAGTGTACTCTATCTGTTGCAGCTAGTGCCTGAGCAAATGTAGTTCGTCAGCAGTGTGCCTTGAAGATGGTGATTGCACCTTGATCCATAGGCTGTTGTATTGGCAGAGAGATACCGACACCAACTTCGTCGTAGACCAGCCCATAGCCCGCCATACGGCAGTGTTTTGAACATAAATCATAATATTGAACATCTGCAAGTGAACATCTGAGAATGATAACGTCAGCAAATTATGTGCTGCAACATTGTATGCCACATTGAAAACATATTGCTAACAATTAGATGTACCAAAACAAAACAGAACAGACTGTCGTAAGTGTGGTTTGTCCCTACATGTTGCAAGTGGAGGACTACCTGTGTATGTTTTAGATAGCTTGCGAGTAAATATTCAAAAAAAAAAACTTTAAAAAATGACAAGTAATAGAGCTGGCAAATGTGAATATTATCTTCTCCTTTAATATGGAGTGTTTTTGCATCAGTAAGGAAATTTCCTAGAGGTTTTCTACTGCTTCACATAAGTTAGCACCTTCTTATATCTAAAAATGGGAAGGAGTTCAGTGATGATTACCTTTTTAAAATGGAATCATATGATTGCTAGAAAATATTTATGTGAACCTTAGGTGTAACTCTAGTCAAGTACACAACACTGAAAACAATCTGGAAAAGAGATGTGGATCAAAATAGATTATGAGCCAGATATATCTTGGGGAAGGGAAAAGATCCATCATTTATAATATGTAGCCTATCCCAAGGGAGAGGAAAGACTGTTTCATACTTGTTTATATTGCAAGCCTTCTCTTCCTCTGACAAATAAATTAAATAGAAGCAATCAGAAAAGAGGCATCAAGTGACACAGTGGCATGTGGGCTGGAGCTAGGGTTGGAGTCAGCGACGGGTTACCCAGTAAACAAGATAAGCACGTGCTTAGGACATCAACAGAACAGGGGCACCAATTGTCCAAAGCAAAGACCCATAGGTGCCAAACAGACAGGACACAAGGAAAAGCGAGTGCACAGCAATGATTCAAGAAAGACTCAATTCATTATCCTTATTACGTATGGAAGTAGATATTGTTCAACAGCTTAATTGTGATGAAATCATTGAAGAATTTGTAAGAGCAAAGCATAGAAATGTTTTTAGTTATATAACATGGTAGAGATGAAAGGTTATCTAAAAATAAAATATAATGATTTGTTGTAATATTTGTTTTCTGACCATTAAATTCTTTTATGACGTCTTTTCATTTGTTCATTTATAATTATAGCATTTATTATGAAACTAGCATCAAAATCGAAGTATGAGCCATTCAAAACAAAATTGGTAAAAGTCAGTTTTTCATTGTGGGAGATCAGTGGAATTTTACATTGATTGTTGACTCATTTTCTTTGTTCTAGAATATGTGGAGTATTCTGTTTGTAGAAAATGTGGTATATAGTAAAAATCTCAGTACTCGTGCTTCCACTGAAAGTTTTATAATCCAGTTCATGTCATTCCATTGAAATGGCATACGCTACTTTTGCATTCAGTTGCTGCTAATATAGTCGAATTTAAAAAGAAGTTACATCATGAATAAGCTAGCGCGCACACGTATGTATCTAACTCACATCTGCTGTTCCAATGCGTGAGTAAGCGGAGGAGGTGGGCACCACAGATCATCAGTGTTTAGGACCTTGTGAGCCTTAATCCGGCCCTGGTTGGAGCTTGTTTTGTGACACTGTGGTTAGCAGAACCTGTTGGATTGAGGAGCTCTGTACATGGCTGTTCCTGTCCCTGCTTCCCTAGCAGTCTGCCATAGCCCTCCTGAGCAGCACTGCTGATCCTAGAAGCTGAGTTAACGCTACCTGTAGTCCTGTCTCAGTAATTTTCAAGGAGGCCAGGGAGTTTGAAATGCATAGGCAATCTAGCTATTGTTTTCATCCAACTTGAAAACGTAAAGCTTGGTCATCTTCCAGAGTGTCAAGGAAAGAATGAGAAAGGACTGTAGGGACATGGGTTAGAGAGAGCTGGTATAGCAGAATGGTTGTGAGGATTAAAGTAAACGTTACTGTATATGTTTGTGTCTCTTCATAGGAAAAAGTAGACTTGGTCCCTTCCTGTCCTGTACCGTATCGTCAAGCCTAAACAAAGCTTTCCAGTTCTCTGCATCAGTTACCACTTCATTGCCTCGGGGAAAACCTCCAGCAGCTCACTTAACCTACATTACACTGGGTAGGTGTGACTTAATGTCTTTCCTGTTTTGTCTGTTGAGTGTCTGCTTTTATAGTTGTCATCGTGCTTGATTCTTAATAGGTTATTTACAACTCTCTGCTATTCTGGGGTGAGCGTGGGGTCTTCATCTTCAGGTAAGAAGCAGCCTCAGGAGGCAGTAGAACCAGAATGGTTAAGAGGAAGGCTCATTAAGCTGATCAGAACTGGATTGGAACCTTGGTTTGACCACTAACTTAGCTGTGTGACCTTTGGCAAATTAGTTTACCTTTCTGAGCCCCAGATTCTTCATATGTCACATGGCAGTAGTCGTAAATGTCCTCCCTTTCCATAGAAAATGTCTTCGGGTAATTTGACTTTGTGGTCACTTTGTTTTGCAAGTGTTCTAATATAGAAGTCATAAAATGTTACAGAACAAGTGGTTAAGGCCAAGCTATTTTTGTTAATGTTTAATAGCTTATTTTATGAACTCTCTTACTGGCCTTTGTGTTGAAATCTTGATGAGGAGATAGGATATTGTGAATTTTTCTTTTTTATTCCATTGACCATTTTTCCGATTGGAATAGAAAGTCATAGCTTTTTAAAAAAATTACTCAAGTTGTTTGTGATTATATTTACTTTGCAAAAAATTAAAATTATAAATAAGGCAAAAATCCCTTTTGACTACCTTCTAGTCCTCCTTTTCCAGATAACCTGCTGTTACTAGTTTTGGATATACCTTCTTGATTTTTTCCTTTGTATTTGCATATGTATATGTGTATTTATAGGAAATATGTGGTGTTGGATATGTGTTTTGCTTAAATAGCACCATGCTATTTTGCTGTTGTTTCCATTTACCGCTTTTCTCTGATAGACCCATGCAGTACATGTAGATGTTCTCCATTCTTTTCTGATGCTGTATAGTCCAAAACCAAACCCATTGCCGTCCAGGTGATCCCGACTCAGCGACTATATAGGACAGAGTAGAACTGCCCCGTGGGGTTTCCAAGGCTGTAATGTTTACAGAAGCTGACTGTCACATCTTTTTCCTGCAGAGGGGCTGCTGGGTTTGAACTGCTGACCTTTTGGTTAGCAGCTGAGCATTTAACCACTGTACCACCAGGGCTCTTAATTGCTGCATAGTAAGTATTTTATTTAGGCATTTTCCATATTGGTGGACTTTTTTGCCATCACTTTTTTTTTTGGTTATCACAATTGATCTTAGTTTAGTATAAAACACCTACTTTTTAGAAGCCTTTAGAAATATAGTGTTTAGCACAGAAATAGGTAAAATACCTACTAAGATATAAGCTGGGGTGGGTTGTTCTTTTTTTTTTTCTGCTTTTTTTCTTTGCATGTGATATACAGCTGTGGAGCAATTGGAAGAAACCTTTTCTTAGAAAGCTTTCTATTTATCTCCCTTTCAAAAATAAGATATTTATTGCTTTTAAACTCTATAAACAAACAGTTATTTAGCAAATATTTTTGAATACTTACACATGAGCTATACAAAGATTTATAAAGCACTGTTGTTGCTTAAATCTTTCTGGCAGGAAATCCAGGGAGTAGTTTCCTTTGTTGAATTTACAAGTGATACCATATTTTCCTGTTGTTTTTTTTTCCCTACTTTTCTTGGCCTCTCCTTTTAAATTTTATTTTAGTCCAATTTCAAATTTTGTTTTTCAGCCCTTCTTAATTTCCATACTCTCCCTTCGGTAATCTCTACTTTCATGGTTAAACTTAACCTGTATGCGCTAATGATGCCTGCGTCCATTCTCCAGCCCTGATTTTCTCTTGAGTTCCAGCTGCATATTGGGCTTTTCCACTCACATTTATTCTACCCCAAACTCAGTTACAACCCTAGTAGTGTACAGTTTAAAATGCTAGCGAGCATAAATCCCAGTACTGCCAAATACTAGCTGTTTGATCTGTGAACTTCCCTTCTTTTATACAGTGAAACCTGTGAGAGCTGGAGTTTGATGGGACTGCCTTGTTTTTCTGGACCTTGCAAGTTTTCTGCCTTTGATAGGGTGTAGTCTTACCACTTTTCTATCACTCGTTTTAATGGAAGATATTTGAGTTTTCCTTCCCTAACAGTGCCTTAAACAGGGTCTGGCTTTTGCAGGTTTTACTGTACAGTAGGGATGATAATGGTTGTTACGAGGGTTAAATGATTGCTCATGTAATGTTCCCATTACCGTATACATAGATCGTAGTTGAGAAGCATTAGCCATTATTACTATTATTCTTTATACAAATAATTACCCCCCTTTTTGATAAATTTCTTAATATATTTGTCATAATGAGATTACCTAATCAACAGGTACCATCATTTTTATTAATCTCGTATATTATCTTCCCAGCCAGTTGCCATCCAGTTGATTCTGACTTATGGCGACCCCATGTGTGTCAGAGTAGAACTGTGCTCCATAGGATTTTCAGTGGTTGATTTTTCAGAAGTAGATCGCCAGGCTTTTCTTTTGAAGCACCTCTGGGTAGACTTTAACTGCCAGCCTTTCAGTTAGCAGACAAGTGCGTTAACCATGTCTGTCACCCCAAAGACTCACTATATTGTTATACAGAGCCTGTGTAAGGCTGAAACTTGTTAGATAAGGAAAACCCAAATATTTCCCACTAAAAGGAGTGGTGGAAAAGTGGTAAGACTATACCTGTCAAAGGCAGAAAACTTGCGAGATCCAGAAAAACAAGGCAGTCCTGTCCAGTTCCAGCTCTCACAGGTTTCACTGTACTACTCTTTAAAAATCCAGTACCCACTTACAGTGCATCAGCGATGGATGAATGTACTCGTTTCTCCATAGCCCTCCCGATATTAAGTTTAATCATCATTATTTTTTGCTGATACACTGCATAGAAAAGAATACCTCTTGAATTTTTATTAAAAAATAAGCCATATTAAACATTTTTCAGATGTTGGTTTGTGTGAAAATGGCATGGCAGCAGCATTGTTTTACCTCCTCTAACTTCACAAGGGGAGAAGAGAATTGTTATCAGCATCAACAGCCCAAGGCTGATTACTGTGAGATGGAGGTCAGACATACCGCCTCTCTCCAACCTTTTTACCAGTTCTGGCACTCTGTACTTCTCTTCTGGGTTTGATAATTTATTGTAATAGCCACACAGAACTCGCAGACAGTACTCATGATTATGGGTTTATTTGGGAAGTGAAAACCAAAAATCAAAAACCAAACCCACTGCCGTCGAGTCAGTTCCGACTCATAGCGACCCTATAGGACAGAGTAGAACTGCCCCATAGAGTTTCCAAGGAGCAGCTGGTGGATTAGAACTGCCGCCCTTTTGGTTCACAGCCATAGTTCTTAACCACTGCACCACCAGGGTTTCCGTTGGCTATTTAGGTGCATGTATTTGTGGGTGACCTGGATTGTCCTGTGGTGTTCCCCACAGTGCCCTGTGTCGTTCATATCTAGACATTGCCCTTTTTTCTGTTGTAAACTCTTTGTTTTATATAAACCTTTATACCCAGGATAAATTCATAGAAGTAGAATAATTGGGTCCAAGGGTATGTAGATTTTAATACCTTTTGATGTCTATAGCCAGAAAAATTAATCCAGTTTATGCTTTTACCTGTTTTGAAAGAAGTACAACCAGAATGCTCCTTAGAAGCAAGGATGGCGAGACTACGTCTTACATACTTTGGACATGGTTGTCAGAAGGGATCAGTCCCTGGAGAAGGACATCATGCTTCGTTAAGTAGAGGGTCAGCGAAAAAGAGGAAGACCCTCAATGAGATGGACTGACACAATGGCTGCAACAATGGGCCCAAGCATAGCAGTGATTATGCAGATGGTGCAGGACCGGGCAGTGTTTTGTTTCGTGGTGCATAGGGTCGCTGTGGGTCGGAACCCACTCAGCAGCACCTAACAACAACAACAACATGCTTTTACCAGCAGTTCCAGCCAGGTTTATGTGTATTTTTTTAATCGGGAAATTTTAAACTTACGCGAACATGGAGATAATAGTATAACGAACCCTCATTACCCGCCCCAACAACCACATACCCAAGGCCGATCCTGTCCCATTTCCCCCTTGCACCTTTCTCCTGTAGTATTACTTTTTAAAAACCCTATTGAATTATAATAGAAATGTAGGACAGTGTACACTTAAGTGAATTTTCACAAACTGAAATCCACCTGAGTAATCAGCCCCTCAGAAACCCCCCTCGTGTCTACCACTGGGTATACTCTCCTCTCCTTAAGCAACCAGTATCCTGCCATCTAACAGCGTTGATTAGTTTTATTCCTTAAATAAATAGAATCTTACAGTGTTTATCCTTGTGTTTGACGTCTTTCTGTTGGCATTGTTTGTGAGATTTATCCGTGTTGCGTGTAGTTGTTGATTATTCATTCTCATTTCTATATGAAGTTTCATTGTATGAAATTATTGTTTATCTGTTCTATTGGTGGACATTTGAGTAATGTTTTGGACTTTTAGGAACAGCGCTGCTCTGAACATTCAAAGTAATGTGTCCTGAGTGAGCGTATGAATGCATTTCTCTTGGGACTATACCAAGGAGTGAAAATTCTAGATCATAGAGGTATGCATATTTTCAGTTCTGGAAAACTGGCAGTATCTACGATAAGGACTGTACCATGTTACACTTCCATCAGCCACGTGTGAGGGTTCTGTTTACTCCGTGTCTTTTCCTACATTTTGTATTTTCCATCCTTTTCATTTTGGCCACGGTGGTAGCTGTGTTGCGGTATCTTATGGTGGTTTTAAATTCACACTAGTCAAGTTGAGCTCCTTTTCCTACTTTGATTGGTCATTTGGATGTCCTTTTTTTCTGAAGAGTATTATCTGTTTCTCTTATCATATTATCTATTGCTGTGTAATAAATTACCTGCAAACTTGATGTCGTTAGGCACTGTTAAGTTGGTTCAACTCATAGGGACACCATGTTTTAAACAGTAGAATTGCCTCGTAGGGTTTTCTTGGCTGTAAGCTTTACAGAAGCAGATCGCTAGGTCTTTCTCCTGTGGAGTGGC